CAGGCCACAAGCAAAGAGCTGGATGGGAAGCAGGGCTGCTGGGACTAGAACTGGCACCTAAACAGGATCCCGACACACTCAAGGTGAGGACTTTAGCCACTAGGCTATTGTGCTGGGCCCTTGTACTTGCATTTTTAAAGATGGTACCAGAGCTGGGATTTTAAGTGGTAGGGGGAGGGAGAGTGTAAATTGAATGGCCACTTCCATCTATCTGGAGAAATCTGGTGCTGAGTTTTGTGGCTATCAGACCCTTGCTTACCATCCTGGAATCTGGCCAGCAGTTGCCATTTCAGGGATTTTTGATTTCTCCCTGTCTCCCCTCTTGGAGCTTAAGTCGGATTCTGATTTGTGCATGCAGGTTCAAACTTGGTTTGTACCTTGGGAGGACACAGGACATGTCTAGGTCACTTGGGAGCTTTCGCTGTGTTTCTGAGAAGTGCAGAGTCTTCTAGAGAATAGAGGGGAAAGGGCCACCTTTGTACGAGGGGATCCCTCGAGGCCTTCTACCTGTCCCTGGGACTGTGCGGACCCAGGCTGCGTGCTGCACCTGCTCCCTGCGGTGTGCGGTTTTGCAGAATTTGGTTGTGAGCTCCAGGAGGTGTGGACTTTGCCACTGTGCCTGAACTTTCCTGATGGATAAAACACACTAAATGCATACTGATCAAATGAGTAAATAAAGGAATTCAGCAGTTTTCAGTCTTAGCATTTACTTCCGTGGGATTCTCTTTCACCTAACATTTTCCTCTTGGGGGTGCTACACCCCTCTCACTTCCCCCAAGAAGCCAGAATCCTTCACCCTTTTTTTTTTTTTTGTCTTCCCTACTCAGTTGTTCTTGCTTTACATTTTGTCCCTATTGCCCCTTTTAGGTCATGTTTTCTGAAGTTCCTGTCTAATAGCTTTGCTAATATGTAATTCATACATCATAAACTGTATTTTTTTCAAGATGTACAACTCAGTGATTCCTGGTAGATTCATAGGCTTGTGACCATCACAATGTAATTGATATAGGGAACACACAATGCCAAATGGAGCATGTGACCAAGATCCAGGTTCGAATCCTTGTATCCACCATTTATAAGCTTGGAGGTCTTTCGTAATTATCTGAAGTTCTTGGGGTCTTCCGTTTCCCCCAGCTGTACAATGATTCATCACTCTTAGATTGTTGTGAGATTCAAATGAGGCATTGTATATAAAACACAGGATTTTACTTTCTATGGTGTTGGTTAAATGTGATCAATTGTGGCCTGAATAAAATTAAATAGAAGATCTTAGAAATAAGCAGTTTAAATTTTAAATAAATCTTAGAAGATATTGTTATCATTGTTCCAGTCTGTTACTAACTGTTGTTATTTTGTGTCTTCTTGTGCCTAATTTATAAATTAAACTTCAGTCATGTCTGAAGAGAAAAAACATGGTGTATTTAGGGGCTGAGACATTGCCTAGGGGTTTTGGGACACCTGTGGCTGAAGTGTGGAAGCTACATAGATATCCATCAAGCCCCCTTTCTGGCGCTGCTGTGACCCCTGAACCCTTCAGCTGCTGAGCACACAGGACCGTGAGAAGGCACAAGGAGAGTGCCAATGTGTCACGCTGCCCAAGCACAGTCCCTGCCCCAGGATCCCCGAGGAAGGAACCTAGTGGAAAGTTGCCTCTGACCCAACCAGCTACCTGTCTGCAGAGGGGCACTGCCAGGGACAGCCAAGGCAACATCCCAGAGACTCCATTTTCTGCCCCTCACCTGTTTCCTTAGCCCCATCTCGGTGACCCCGAGCTGTCTTTCAGAAGCCACCGTGTCACCCACACATTGGGACTCAGGAAGTGTTGATGTTTGTTTTCAGGAGTTTGTCCCTGACAAGGCAGTCCCTTCCAGAGGTTCGTCAAGTCCGCGTGTTGTTTTTTTTTTTTCATTGCACTTACATAATATGAGAATGACTCGAAAGATGGGTGGAAAAACAAAGTTAAAAGACACATTATTTTGGTGTAAACCATTGTGAAATCCACACATAGTGTTTTCATGATACATATTTTCCATGAGCTTTTTGAAGATCCCTCCCCAGCTCCTCCTCCCACCGACTCCCCACCCCATTAGCACTTTGTATGGTAATTGGTTGCAGATCAAGACTTGTGTGCTGGTGGCATTTAATACATATTTGTGGACCAAAGGAATCCCTTTCAGTACATTTTATTTCCATCAGTGACCCGATTACCAGACTGAAATCTGAGGGTTTAAGTTCCCATTGTGATGTTACCTCTTGATTCCTCTTTATTGATGACACAAAGATAAACCTGTAGTTATCAGTGCTCACTTGGAAAAGCAAGATCAGAAGCCTTGCCTGCCCCATCCTGCTAAGGGATTGTAGTGTTCACGTTGTCAGTATTGTTGGGAGAACGTGGAAATGACCTCCATCCTGATGAGATGGGAAGCTGCACATTCGGTCTGGCTCTTGTAATTCATTTTGTTTCCCATTTCTGAGTGCAGAGAGCTGACATTTTCCAGGCAGCCTTGGCTTCAGTGGGATCTAGACCCAGGGGATTCGAAGAGAATTTGTTGCCTGCATGTTATGCGCTGGCTAATGGACTGTATGGTTGGTAGAGGACGTTGAATCAAGCCCTGAACACAGAGGTCAAGGGGGAAAACAGTGGAAGGCATGAACAAAGTCAGGAGCGCTAAAATTTTCTATTACTTTTCAGAACCATACGTTTGAAAGGATCTAGGTTTTATTTCTGGAGTGGTCATTTAGGGGTAACAGTGCCTGCCTTTAGAAGATACTATGTGTGTAAGAGAACTTTCTTTTCCCTGCCTCCTCTCCCCACCCGCCTTCCCCTTTGTAAGCTGAGTGCCACATCCCAAGTGTGCAGGGCTGTGCAGTTCATAAACTCAGCCCCCAGACACATGAAAGGGTCAAAACAAAGTGTTCTCCATCCCAGTAACTGTTTTGGTCCTAATTTAGAATGAATAAAGCCTTTCAGCAGGCTCTATGTTTCCCTAAATCAGTTTGATTTTATGTAAACATTTATCTCCTTTGCACTTTTCCACCTACCACGCCGTTCACGTAACAATAACGCCTTCGCGAACATTAATGTTTTCACCAGATCCACTCTGGAGGAGGAGTCGGGGAGGACGGAGGAAATCTCTCTCTCTCTAGCTGCGGCAGAACTTCTCTGAGATCTAGTGAATGAGAGAAAAACACTTGATTTTGGTTTAGTCCAGGAAAATTAAAAGTTGCTGCTGGGAGTTTTGGGGGTACGTGTGGTATGGGCTAGGGACAGTTGTCTAGAAAGAGATCCTGAAGAGAAAGGCAGGTGTTTAATACACGCTCAGAGCGTCCTTGTGCATTGCGAGTGGCTGGCGCTGACTGGGTAGGAATGTCCCCATCGCGCTAGGCTTCCTTTTTGGTACCTGAATCCCAATCTGTCTTCACTTACCAGAAAAGCAGTTTTCCCTCTAACGCCCTTCGCTGACTGCGGGCGGATGTTTCACTGCAGTGTCCGAAGTGGCGGCAGGCTGTGAATTTACACCACGGGTAAAGCAAGGCCGCTCTTGTCCTCGCCTTGTTCTTCTGGAGCAGCTCTGACCGGGACTGGGTGACACCTCTGTTACGTGGGATGGCAATGTCCCACCATCCACCCTCCCTGAGAAAGATGGAAAGACAGAGTGAAAAGTAAATGTTGTAAAATAATGAAACAGTACTTAGCTGTTACTTGCAAATTCACACATTGGGTCAGGAGCATGTTGGCAAATATTTTTAGCAACATCGTAGTCAAGGAAGATAGGAGCTATTTCTCCATTGTTGTTGTTGACTGTTTATCTTCTTCTCATAAGGTGTTTTGTTGTTGTTGTTTTTTCCTTGAAGTAGAAAGAGAATTAATTCAAGCGTTCTCTAATTCTTTTGTGTGATTGTTCCAAACATAAAATGGAGCAGAAGGTTGTGAAGGGAACATTTCCACTCAGCATCGCTTTAAAACAGAATTTTTGGAAGCATTGTTGATTTCTTCGTATTTTTTGTTGGTAAATCCTGGGAAAAATGTATATCTTTTCCTTTAAAGTTCTAATTCAAGGCATGGATGTGAGAGTTCTGAAGGGACTTTGGGACTGCGGTAAAATTTCGTTGTCATAGTAACAGAAAGGGAAATAGGCCTAGCTCACCTGGGACTTTAACACTGCAAAAGCTGGATTTTTTTTTTTTTTTAAGGAAAAGGACTCTGCAAGTGAAATAAGTGAAAAACTTACTGTATTTGGAAACAAAATTTCAGACGTTAATGAGATGAATTACTTCTGCCATTTTTCTTGGTTGAGGCGCTTTATCTGATTCCTGATGTCTGATTTAAAAATGGCCCAGAAAGTTAATTTAGGAGAATATGGGCTTCAAAAAATAATGTCTTCCCATTGATAACCTCTGTATTTTCCCGGATGAGCTAGAGATCATCTGGACACACACTGACCCTGAATCACAAAACCTCTGACCCGTGTGTACACAGACTTTGGATAACAACATACCATGTACTGATGATATGTGTAAACAACGGTTAAGAATATCAGGTCATCTCTGCAAGTGAGCATAGGTGTGTGTGACTGGGGAAGTGCCACCTACATCAGGTGCCCCAGGGGTCATGGGTCCAGTCTGAGCATTTTTAACCCTGGAGTGAGACTTTCTGTACAGCAAGGGTCACTGCTGTGTTTGAACACCCTCCCCCACCCTTTTTTTTTCCCAGTGTGTGTGCTGTGAAATCCCAGAGCCCATGCACAAACCAGAGCCCAGCTTGTGAACTGCTTAACAATCCCCTACAGTGATGAAGTAGGGGTTGCCGGGCTTGCGATTGAAAACATCCAAATTTGCAAATTGCACCAGGTCAGCACTGTTCGTTCACAGGCAGGGCTGGTTGAAATTCCCCAGACCTGAAATACAATCGCTTTCAAATCAAATCTAATAGAATGCAGATATGGTCTCCCTTAAAAAATGTTTACTGAAAAATGTAACACATTGCTTTCTCTTCACAGATTCTTTTTAAAATTTTTCCTCAAGTGCAATCAGAATTGTTTGAAAACAGCAGGAAACCCGAGGGACATGAGACGGTTCCAGGTAAGGAGTTGTGCCGATCTCGCCTGCTAAATAAGTCATCCTTTCGCTTTCTCTTTCTCACTCCTTTTTCTCCACCCCCAGTAACCACCTCTACCACCAAAGCAAAGAAAAGCAAAACAAACCCTCCCCCCCCCACAAAAAAAAAAAACAACAAAACCATCGTTCAGTGATGCTGCTAAGGGTCTAAGAGTCTAAGAGATAAGCATCTAGGCTAACCCTCATCCATTAGTAAGGGTTGGGGTGGGGGGAGCTTCATTTTGTCATATTTAGGCTTTCTGCCTCCACTGCCCAAGTCCCACTGGGAGAGGCAGCGACCTAGGCTGGAGATTTGATTCTAAGCCCTCAGGCTGCCCACTGCACACGCAGCTGCCCACAGCAGGAGCCGTGTTCTTGATATTCAGCCACCTTGGGATTTTTCAAAGCAGCTTCTCCATGTTTTTTGGCGAGCAGCAGCTTCTGCCTTTCCTCTTCCCTGGTTTAACTATTCAGTGGCCTCTCTCAGAGCCTTTTGGAAAGCAGCAGCCCAAGCGGCCGTGGTCACTTTAAGATCGCAGCATGACAACAAGACCCACGGGACAGTGACCCAGCTGCCTGGCAGTTAAATCTGCCACCGGTTTCATCAGCCTTGCCACTGATGTACTGAGGAGACGGCTAATAAAAACACAGAGCAAGGCCAAGGGTGTGGGGTGGAGCTGGGAGCAAGTGCAGCCCCTCTCGACCCCTTTCCTTAAGCTTTGAAGGATCCTACTGAATTTGCCAAAGGACCCCGCTGCCATTCATGTCCAAGTTAAATACATGGCATCCGCTTTTCCATAGAAAAGTAAAAAAGGTGTTCAGCACTAGTATTTGAACTTGAGGCTTTAAATAATCATCCTTGCAGCAATGCAGGACACAAGGATTTCCAAGCCTCACCTTTCAAGGTGGGAAATGAGGTTGTGGGTGGTGAAGTGGTTCGCCCATAATCAAAATGAGGAGCCCGTGGAGGCAGGAGCACGTGTTGGACCAACCTCTTCCCAGTAGACCACGGGTGCCACGGTGGCTCATGCGTTGCAACCGCCAGCTTTGTACATTGCAGCGCACTTGTAATTCTTGGCCATGTTGGAACAAGGAGCAGTGCGTTTTCGTTTTGTGTGGTACCCCACACATGCTGTTGTGCTCTTGCCTGTTACTTAGGGAGTTTCTGGGTTGTGGCCATGTTCAGACAGATGATTTGGGACAGAATCATTTGCAAAGTCAACAAACGAGATGGTTAAAACAGGGCCACTGAGAGCTATTTGGAAAACAAAAATCCTGTAATTTATCTATTTTTGTACCATTCGTGGTTATTAAGCCATCCTGCTATGCCTTTGACAACTTTGTGACACCACTTAACACAGTTCCCTTAAACACATGGAAGCCTACCTCTGTCCCACACAGAATCTTCCCTTGCTGAATGATCCCAAGACAAACAAATGCTTTTAGCCTCCCCTGGGAATGAAACAGGAACACTATACAGAGTGGAAGTATCAGTATTTCAAATAAAATAATAATAATAATAATAATTTCAGTCCAAAGGATAGCTAGATTCAGAAGAATCCCAGAGTACCTGGTTCACCAAAGCTCAGCCTCATTCTGGAAGAAGTAGCAGCAGATACAGGTTGGCACAGTGGCTCAGCAAGCTAATCCTTCACCTGCAGTGCTGGTGTCTCATGTGGACACTGGTTCTAGTCCCACTGCTGCACTTCTGATCTAGCTCCCTGCTTATGGACTAGGAAACTAGTGGTGGATGGCCCATGTTCTTGGGTGTCTGTACCCACTTGGGAGACCTGGCTTTCACCTGGCTCCTAGCTTTGGATCAGCTCAGCTTCAGTCATTGTGGCCATCTGGGAAGTGAACCAGTTGTTAGAAGATACCTCTCTCTTCCTGTCCCCCTCTCTGTAAATCTACCTTTCAAATATAAATAAAGTTTAAAAAATAAAGATAGGAAACAGAAGATGCTACTTCAGATTCCTTTATTTATTTATTTGCAAATTAGAATTGCAGATAGAGATTTTCCATCTCCCAATTTGTTTTCTAAATGGCTGCAATGGCCAGAGCCAAAACAGGCCAAAACCAAGAGCCAGAATCTTCTTCAGGGTGTCTTATATGGGTAGCAGGAACATAACCACTTGAGCCAGCCTTTGCTGACTCCCCCAGGTCATTAGCAGGGAACTGGGTGGAAAGTGGAGCCTCCAGGACACCAACGGGCAGCCAGATGGGATGGTGGCATTGCATGCGATGGCTTTGTTCACTGTGCCAGCACACTGGTCCCGTATTTCGTATCCCTATCCTATCCCATTCTCCACTTCTGTGGAAGGGTTTTAAGATAAAGAATGCTCCTGAAATTGTGAGGAGGTCTCAGAGAATGCCTCGTCCTTTTTCTTCTCCTGAATTTTAGCAAGATATTCACAAAGCCAGAGCATGCTAAAATTTCTGCTGCTTCCTTGGTTATTTGCTGAGTCAGGTTTTCATTGTGCCCAAGATTTCTACTGGCTTAAATAAATAGTGTTGGTTTCAAAGGGAGGAGAAATTCTGATCCTGGGTGAAATTATTTGATTTTGATAAAGATGGGGAGACAGGGGTATAGAGAGGAGGGTGTGGATTCTGTGCTTACATTATTTCTTGGGTAGAAATGAAAGCAATTTGCAATTTTTTGTGTGTTTTTCTGAGATAAAATTCATTCAACATAAATTTACTATTTTAACTCTCTTAGAAACATACAATTCAACAAATTTTAATGCAGTCTTAGTGCTTACAACCGGCACCACCTCTGATTCCAGAATGTTTCCATCCCCCCACATAGACCCCAGGCATCTTAATTCTTGTTTCTGCCCAACTGTCCCCAACCACTAACCTACTTTCTATCTCTCTGGGTTTTTCCTGAAATTTCATATAATTGGAATCATGCAATATGTGGTCTTTAGTCGGATTTCTTTTATTTAGTATAATGTTTTCAAGATTCACCTATATTGTAGCATGTATTTGGATGTCATTCCTTTTTATGACTGAATAATATTTCGACCTGTGAATATATCATTTTGTTTATCACTGTTAATAACCACTTGGGTTGTTTACACATTTTGGCTGTTATAAGTAATACTACTGTGAATATTTGTGCACAAGGCTTTTGCGAGCATATGTTTTTCATTCTCTTGGGAATGTGACTAAGAGTGGAACTTCTGGGTCATATGGTAGTTCTAACTTTAACTTTTTGAGAAATTGCCAGATTGTTTTCCACAGCAGCTGCACCATTTTCCATCACCACTAGTAATGTTTGAAGGTACAACTTCTCTAACTCTGCATCAACACTTAGTTGTTTTTTTGTTTATTTTTGTGGATGTGCAGTGCTATCTCGGGGTGGTTCCCATCTGTTCATCTCTAATGAGGAAGGATGTTGGGCTTCTCCTTTGTGTAATTTCTTCAGAGGAATGGCCATTCAAATCTTTTGCGTTGTTTTTAAATGTTGAATTGTAAGAGTTGCTTATATATTTGAGATACTCAGCTCTTATCAGTTATGTAATTTGCAAATGTTTTCTCCTACTTACTAGATTGTAGTTTAACTTTCTCCTGTTTTCCAAAAACCACTACGATGTGCATGCCGTGTGTGTGTGAGAGAGAGTGCTGATTCACTCTCCAAATGCTTACAATTGTCAGATCAAAGACAAAATTTTTATCTTATTTTAGATGATATTTACATATTTGATCAGGGTGGGAAGGATCAAGGGTTAGGGAAAAGTGGGTATGATCATTCTTTCCAAATTTTCACCTTGCTCCTGTTTCTGGGGGTAGGGAGGAGCCATACCCAGCCTCCCAACCACCTGCCCCAGTACCTGGGGATGGGGAAAGGCCACCTGATATCAACACAGGGTCTCGAAGTGATGCATGCTCTGAATCAAAGACAAAAGTTGTGAACTGCTCAATTCAGGTCTCTCATGTGCACAGTTAAAGCTCAATTACTTGAACCGACCTTGAATCCTAGGTGTGGGATGCAGGCAGCTTAGCTGGCCTTAAACTACAGTTATACACCTTAAACACCTATCCTTCCACTTTTTTTTGTTGGCATCCTTTTCATAAAATAATTTTTATACTGTACTCAGATTCTATTAACAAATAACTCTCCATGAAAGCTGTTTCATATGAAGAATGCTAGTATGAAGAGAAGCTCGACTGTGTGCTACTATAATAGCCAATTAAGATTCAGGTGCAAATAAGAAATCACTACAGAGAGTGTTGGGGAGTGTGAACTGAAGGGATGGTAACCTTTAGGACTTCTGGAACATCTTTCTCATTCAGAATGATAAAGTTGATCATCTTGGACCACATATACAATCACTCCAGTTCACTATTATTAGATGATCAAACACATTTTTGGATATGAAGGGCTCACTTATGAGAACTTGATATAGGCAAAATAGAAATACAAAACATTTCTGACCGAATCATGAACTCAAACTCTTCTCATCCTTCTTCCTGCCCCATCGCTTAAACCCTGGTGGGACCTGAATTATCTTCCCCAGAATGATCAGATGAGAAGATAATTGGTTTATCAGACTTGTTTTCAAGTCTGAACCAATCTTCTGTTTACCTCATTCAAGTCTTAGGTATCACTGGGCATAAAAAAACATCTATTAACAACACAATATGCTTTCACCTTTAGTCCATAACCCTTTGAGAATTTGTAAAAACTCTGCTCTTTGTCTAAACAAAAACCTGTTTTTTAAAAACACTGTCCTCCACAGATCTCCATTCCGCCACTTGACACTTGGTCTGACGAAGTTTCTCTTCACTAGACTGTGTGATGCTTGGCAGTGGTTGACAAGTTTTATTCACATTTATATTTCTCTCCAATGGCTAGCACAATTCTAGGTGCTCTATGGAGCAAATTATTAAATGAATCTAAGAGCAAGCAAGAAAAAAGACAAAAAGAAAATCTTTGTAGGACTTCCCCAAAACCTCAGTCCACTGATAATTTTTTTCTCTCC